CCTCTCTCTTCTCTATTGTTGCTGAACTGTCCGTCCGTTAGGGTTGGATCAAATTCATTTCTAGATTAACCCCTGAGCTCCCTTAAAAGAAATGGCATTACATCATGGAATACCTTTTAATATCTAAAATCAACCAGAATTTCTCAGTATTTAAGCTTTTTTTTCTATTGTGATTTCATTCTTCATATCCTATGTTCCCGTTGGCTTCCGGCTGGGACTAGCAGTGGAAGTATCATGATATCTAAGGAAGTACGTTCTGTTGACTTTTGTTGGCCTGAAGGTATCCTTTTTGAGGCCTTGCTGGGCCCTGAGATTTGTGGAGGGGAGGAGAGAGCCTCTCTTTCTACCTGAAACTGGGAAACAGTAGTCCCTGATTTTTATTTATTTTTTTTTTTATTGTCCAGTCCAGGAAATATTCTAGAAGGCAAAGGTTGATGTGTGTAGGACCATGTGGGTAAAAATGAATTCAGCCTCAAAGCCTAGAGTGTCAGTGTGGTCCAGCCAAGAATAATGTCTTTATCCAGTTCCCATGAAGATAGCATTAGTTCATTTAGAGATACCACACTCTCGACAAGACTCTATCTTGCCTTGAAAGGCACCGATGTCTGCAACTCAGTGAAACAGTGCAAGGCCCACCCCACTGAATTTGATCTGTCAGTATATCTAGGTGTCCAAAAGATTAAAAGAGACACCCTGAATCATGAAGCCTTTCCCATTAGCTCATTGTTCTTGAAGCTGGTTTGGACAGGAATTGAAGGGGTTGTATTCACATATCCTGGAGCCTGCAGGATGATTTTAGATTATCTATATCACTTTCATGGCTGTTTTGATTCAGTTTGTATCCTCATCCAACACAGCTGAGGAATAAGAGCCAGATGCAAGTCAGCAGCTCCGCTTGTACATCTTGAGAATAGGCTGAGGTTATTAAGGGAATATGTGTTTAGAGAGGTATGTTTGCCAGAAGACCAAACTAGGAGAGATTTTTCTGTTGTGATGCTTTCTCCAGGCTGTGGGAATATCAATTGAGAGCAAATCCGGTCTATCTTTCACACCCATAAAGAGAAACTCAGCCAAACATTCCCCTCTAACCTCATTTTTTTATTTTTAACAGGAGGCATTTAATTATTTTAGTTTTAACAGAAAGGCCTTAGCCAAAGTTTGCTTTCCTGTAGCACTTAAATGCTTGTTCCAATAATGTGTTACTGATGGGATCTTTAGGTATAACATGCTAGCATTTCTTTTATTCACTTACAGTAGTATGCTCCTAATGGAGCTGTGGGACCTGGGATGATTCCCAAATGGGGGAGTTATCTGTTTAGAATTGCTGCCCTAAAGGCAGGGATACCCAAAAGAGCAAAGGGAATTAAATACTCAAATTCAATTCCCTTGAGTTCTTTTGATAATCCCAAGTGCAACTGACTTGTTGAAAGTAGGAACCAGTCCATCTTCCACTATACCTACCTTCCACAATATAATGGAAAACCATTTGCTGCCATTTGGTTATTTTTAAAAAGTGGCTTTTTCCCCATTTGTCTCAACTGCTCTGAGCTATTGCCCACTCTAAACTAGAGGTGGATGTGAGCTTTCACAGTCAGGTCCAGGTTTTAGCTTCTCTAAAATTACAGTGGGGTTTTTGATTGGTATCAGCTCCCTTTAAAATGTTTGTTTCAGGAATTGGTAATCTGAGTGCTTCCATCAGAAAATGCTCTTAAGTGTTAGTGAAAAATGATGATTAACTGGGTCATTTTCTTCCCTGCATGCACCCTGCCTTCTACATATCCATCTGTGTGCCACTTCCTGGCCAACTTTGACATCTGTGAATAGATCTAAGAGTGTGTCCATGTGAATCTTTCAGGGACCAGATACGGCAAGGCCTAGAAGAGCTGCAGAAGGTTCTGCCAGGGGGTGACACTTACATGCACGAAGGATTTGAAAGGGTAAATAGACCAATCTTAAATTGCATTTGCAGGGTCTTTGAGCAAAAGCAAAGGGATTAACCAAGCTTCCTGCCTTTCCATATGGGTAAGTGGCATCCTGAAGCAAAACAATTGATCGGTGGGTTCTGTAAGCAGGTGTTGCACCGATGGAGCTGGCAGAATTTGGGTTGGAATAACCGCAAGTTGTATCTTGCCATGTCCCTGCCTTCACTGCTGGGGACCTCACCTTCAGGAGTAGGAAGTGGGCATGTAACAGCTGAGCACTGGATGTGCAGCTCCAGTTGGAGTTAAAGGGGGAGTAGAACAGCAAGAGACCCCAGGCCAGCATGGAGCCTTGGTGCAGTGGGCAAGCTGCCCACCTGGCAGCCCTCTCTTCCTCTGGTCTTCCACTGCTGAAGACTAGATCAGGTCAGACGTTTGCATCTGAACTCCCCAAGGGTGTTTTTGTGTGTTGCTCCCACCTCCACTACTTATCTTCTGAAGGACTGGGGAAGCATTTATGTCCCGCTGATGAAGATGAATTGAATTCCTGTATTACAGCACATGGTAAAAACTACAGCACATTCCAGGCTGTGTGGAGGTCTAGCTGAGAACTGAGATGAAAATCTGTCTAGGAGCAGAACTCTCAGATCCAAAGATCCCCCAAATTTTGCCAGTGCTCGAACTTCAGGTGCAGCTTTAGCCCCATCTTTTCATTCCAACCTGAGACACACAGAGAAAAGGGTTAACAGTTTGAAAAGATCTTCAATTGCAGAGTAGATGCTACATATGCTAAAAATGCCATCTCATGCTTCACAACTTTGCCGTCACTTCCCATCTCTGCACATGTCTGGAGCAATCACTAAGTACCACAGTTACTCACTTGTTACTAATACTGTTCTGATTTAATTTCAGGCAAGTGAACAGATTTACTATGAAAATGTTCTAGGTAAGAGAGAATTGCTTGAGCTATTAACTGTCCTTCCCTGCTGCACGTCCCCCACTCCCCCTTCTCTTTATATCTTCATAGATTTCATAGACATAGGGCTGGAAGGGACCTCACGAGAGCATCGGGTCCAGCCCCCTGCCCAAGGGGCAGGAAATCAGCAGGGGTCAGATCACCCCAGCAAGATAAGCATCCATATCTTGCTTATGTGCTTGACTTCTGTCAAGGACCCACACTCCTTTTCAGGAAAGGGTTGTGACTAATCCCTTTTACAAGAATTCAGAATACAGTGACATGTCCTAAAGAGGGCAGGGCAGAACTGTAAGGCACTAGACCTGTACCTTGAATATATTTTATATAAAAACAACAAAGAGGCTTGTTCATGAAAAGATGTAAATTGTTGCTCAGTGGGATTTTTCAGAGATGCTTGGGTACCTAATTCTCCATGCTCTATCTCCACCTTTTTGTATGGTTTCTGTCAAATATTTCATCATCACTAGGGATCTTGAGATGTTGTTGAAGTTCCACTTCACTTTTCAAGAATCAATAAATAGACATAATCATAACAGTCCAGTTATTTGTCATTGGCAGTTTTCAGAATATCCTTGGTTTCTCCACAACAAAATAGCTCACAACATATTCTTTTCCAATTTGAAAACCAAACATTTGAAAAAAAAAAAAAAATTGAAGTGCAGTTTCACTGTTCATGTGTAATCCAGGACATCAGAGCTCTTTCAGATTTTGAGCAATGTGCTGTTGCTAGAAATTTAAGTTAATCTTAAATTAATCATTGCTGCTGTAAATTTACAGTAATAAAAAAGAGCCCCTGTGCTACAGTCAATACAGTAAAGGATGATTCCAGTCTTCCTGTCATAACTCCACTACCAGTAAATAAGATGTGAAAGGACAAGGAAAAATTAAAAGAATTTTAATCATTTTTCTACCAAAATCTTATTAAATATCAACTCAGCCTTTGTAGCATAAATGGAATGTCTCCCTGGGTTTTGAGAATTGAGATAGCATCAATAAAACAGGAAATTACTGGAAATGCTTTTAAGAAGTTTGTAAATACTGCCATACTTTCAGTCAAACTATTAGGTTGAACTCCTGTAATATTTATAATAAGGTGCCAGGTTAGAATGACTGAGTCATTTCTGTGACGAGCAGAAGATAAGTGCCTAGAAAATAGATGCATGCAAGAAACAGATGGTATTTAGAACTGGCAAAAAAATTATTATCGACATTTGGGGCTTTTTAAGTGTGGGTTGTTAACAGGGGAGCATTTATCAAGTAAGAAATGTAACACCTGTGTTCCTTTTAAGCCTGCAAGTAGCTCATTAATTGGGTGTTGTGTTCATCCATGTAGTACTCGGTGCCCTTAAATCCTCTTTGTTCAAGAAGTTTGTTTGTTTAGGTTACAGAACTGCAAGCGTCATCATTGCGCTAACAGATGGTGAACTCCATGAGGATCTCTTCTTTTACGCAGAACGAGAGGTAAAAAGATTTACAGTCCAAGCTCTTGAGATAGACACTTTGATACCCGCTGTCTTTGCTGCCAAAAAATAAAGGATACTTAGGCAAAGGATTGTTTTACCACCAAGGAAGTTCTCGAAATTAATTTAAATGTATATGTTCCTAAGGCTAAACATGAGTGGAAACAACTTGAAGATTTTAGGTTATAATAATGCTCTTTCTAAAGCAAAAAAGCAAAATGCCAAGAGTGGTTCTTGAACTCAGTTGGACTCTGACGGACTGGACAATTTAGTGTAGAAATAAGAAAGAAGGACCCGGCGGACCAGTATTTTAGGGGTTAAACCTCAAAGAAGGATCAGGTTACATTTGATTTTAAAAAGCAAGCAAAGAATTAGGGATTTTCACTTCACTCCCATATCCAAAACATCATTAGGTTAACATACCACATAGATTATTTATTAAATAAGGTAAAATTCGGCACTGAAACAGGCACAAGAAGTGCTTGTATTGTTAATATGCCTGGTTGATAGTGACAGTGATGTTGCTAGGGAGGGCTGCACTAATTCCACTAAATGATGCTGTAAAATATAAATTATGATAAATTGGACCTGGAATGAACTATTAAATAGGATCTGGTTTTGGTATGCGTGCAACTTTTTAACGATTATCCTTCCAATGAAGTGTAAGTTTAAATCCAGTAACAATAAAAAGGATCACTATATTGTAGTGTGAAAAACAAAATTGCTAAGACATAAATCCTTGCCAAAAATATACCATTCCAAGTCCCTAAAGTTCAGCTCCAACTTCCCTGGGGATCTTTGATTTCAGAGTGAAAACAAGTTTGTTTTAAGAGACTAATGAAGAAAATTCTCTGAAGAGAAATTCATCAAGAGGGGAGGTCAGAAGTTTTACATGTGTTTTGTTTGAGGGAGGAACAGGCAATAAGGCATTGGATTTTAGCCTTGCAATACAAGTCACTTCACTTCTGTGTACTTGACTCTCCTTACTGTAAAATGAGGATAATGTTGTTTGCTGTTTGTAATACATACTGATACTTGGAAATCAGAACTGCTATAATCTGGTGCAAGTAGACTTCCATGGGAGAGGGGGGATCAGCTTCTCAAGGACCTGGGTATTACAACTGGCATAAATTTGATGAAACAATCATATGAAGGATAAAAATGTACAATGGAGGATTTAATGCACAATACCGCTGATTCATGAACATTGAAGGTGACATTAAACATGCATCTATTAAAGTTATTACCATAGTTTGTATATAAAAAATGTGTATAAACTATAGATTGCTGACCCAATAGGCATGGCTCAAAATACTTTAAAACTAAATTTTGTCCAAAAATTATGTAGCCTTTTTCTCTCCCATTCTTTGTGACGCTAGAAATAATTAAGTGCTAAACGCTTCCTGCCTGGTGGTCAGCAGAGATGTATGAAAAAAATGATTCAATTTTTTTTTTCAGGTTATCAGTTGTACTTAGGCATTATGTAAACTTTGAGGGCGCACGTCAAATTGAAATGGCTGCACATTGGATTTATTGGGTGAAAGAACAAAAAGTGTATCATTTTTCCTATCCAAGCAAGTATCCACAGCTGTAGCAACAGGTACATTTTTTGCTACCTGAATTTAAGACTACAGTTAGTCTCATGGTTTTAGTCTACCCTTTTTTCATGCTCCCAATTTTTGATTTTGAGTAGAGCTCTGCTCCCAGCATGGCAGCAAGATTAGCGCGTTAAACATACAATACAAAATGCACCATAATCTGCATCCATAATGGGCATATCTCTGTTGTTCCAGGCTAATCGATCAAGGGACCTGGGAGCAACAGTGTACTGTGTTGGAGTCAAAGATTTCAATGAAACTCAGGTAAATGAGTCATAACCTTCTTGGGCATTTAGCAAAGGTGGACTAGATGGCCAATGTCCCAGTGTTTTATAGAAAAGTGAAATTCGCTACTGCTACAGAAGCTTTTGGCATTCATGAAGAGAAAGGCCTTTCTTCCTGCCTTTTAGAGGTGATCATGAAAAGCCCTGAAGCATGGCATTGCCCAAAACCTGCCACACTGCAGAACAGTTATCTCTGTAACTCAACATTTTATATTATAGAGTTCTACCACTAATTAAGCATCTGCACATTACCAAAATGAAGCATTTTCATGTTTCTGAATGAAGCATTTTCTGAATTCCCATTCTTTGGTGAATTTAAAAAATAAGCTCTCTTCCTTTTGATTTGGACTGAAAAGTAAAAATGACAATTTCCTACAGAACTATTTCCTACAGGAAATTCCATTTTCCAGTGCAGCTTTTGGGTTACTGGTAGACTCAGTGATGCTCCTGATAATTCAAAACTGAGTCCATCCTGGCAGAAAACTAACTGGAGAGGAGACAACATTTCCTTGTTCTGTTATAGATTTGCAGGGCATTTCTACTTTGAGCTCATAGTGAAATACTGTGTGACTTCTAAAAATGCCCCACAGAGTTCTGTATAGATACCTGTGGGGGGAAAAAACCCACTGAATGTTGTACAGCTCTAAAAGCAACCCACTGGATCTGCTGATGGGACTGGGAAGCAGTGTAAATTGGGATACATCCTCCAAAATATGGGTTTATTTGGATCCCGGGCTATCATTTAGGTCTCATAGTGGACATCTGATGAAGCAAGAAAACAAAACGTCTGTAGTAAGATGGGGAATGTGGGTCCCACTTTGCACTGGGAATATCTGCACCTGTGTAGCTGTGCCACTGTAGAGTCTTAATGAAAGTGCCTTACTGTAACAGCTTTACAACAGTCTGCCCAGTGCGCAAGATGTTTGCCCTCGAAGCTTGTACTGCTTTACTCACTGGACTTGCAAAAATCTGTGGTATAGAGAAGTTCCATAAAAAGACAAAGGAAGAAAATAACAGGGGCAAGTTGGGGGTGGGGGGAAGAGCTTTAGGGGTTGGAAGCTTGAAGCCCCCAAGATAACCACAGCCTGAAGCCATCGAGGCATCAGAGAGATTAAGCAGAGTTTGATGATAAAACCCCGTTGTTATTTGAAACCCCAGAAGGCTCTAGAAGCCAGACCAGAGAGAATGAATTCAGGAAACTATAAACATCCACCAATTTACTGTAACTGCTGTATCTTGGCCTGCGATCAGTATGCAGCTTTTCTAACCCAGCCCCTTAGTGCATGGGAGACGGTGGCTGGGAATATTCCCTCTAGGCACAAATCAAGTGGGGGCAGGAGGGGCTTTGTGTGTCTGGGACCAAAGGGAGAGCATTTGTTTTAAAGTCCTGTCTAAGTGGGTATTTTTTATATCTCTAATAAATATAACTGATTGCCAGGAGCTGGAAGGGTGGGGCCTGCTGGGTTTCGGGAGGAATGTGTGGCAAGTAAGGCTGCCTTCAATTTGCATTACTGCAGGAAAGGCCAAGCGCAGGCCTGCCGAGTGATGTTACCCCTGCCGTTCAAGGGAATTGCTAAAACAAATGTCAGCCTCGCAGCAGTAAAATTTGATTCTGCACCAGCTGATGCATGGAGAGCTCGTTATCCCTGAACTGTTCTCACCAATCACCTTAACCCTTAGCACACTGAAGATGAACAAATTGGTCTTAAGCTCTTCCCACTCTCAGTTCCTCTCTTCCCAAACATGTGAGGCCCCAAAATGTCCTTCTGGTACTTGTTTGCTGCTCTTGCCACCTACACATTCTCCCATTGAGCCCCAGGCACCTGAACCTGCCAGATGCAAGGCAGAGGGGGGATGATGCCGTCCACCCCCATTGGGAGATTATTGGTTTTTATGGGCAGGTCTCTGCACAGAGAAGTACAGAGGCAGGGATGTAGCTTCTAAGCATGGGAATGTCTCCATCTTTAAGAAGACTGCTCACATGCTTGAAGTTCTTCTGCATGTGCTTATGGGCTTTGCTGACTTGGTTCTGCCGGTGCCACTCAGAAGCACTGGGTTTAGTTCCTAGGACGTGCCATATCCTGCCTTACGTCCAGGAACCATCTCTGGTTCCCAGCACTGCCTAGGCTCAAAGTGCAGACTGTTAAGAAATTGGAGAAACAATACAGCACGTTAGCAAGCCACGCTCTGTCCAGTGCTTAAGATATTTATTCTATTTATTTTGATTTTATCGTGTCCAGGAACAACCTCCGATTCCCAGCACTGCCCTTTAAAATTAACCAGGTTCAAAGTGCAAACTGTTAGATAATAGGAGAAACATTACAGTATGTTAGCAAGCCACGCTCTGTCCAGTGCTTAAGATATTTATTTTGACGGGTAAGTGGATTTAGCGAAAGATCTCTCCTTATTTTGCTGTCTATTGGCTAATTTATCCCATGTTTACTTTTTAATTTTTTTTTAATTGTTATTTTTTGCTGCTCTGTCAGCTGGCTCGAATTGCTGACAGCAAGGATCATGTCTTTCCTGTGAATGATGGATTTGAAGCACTGCAAGGGATCATAGACTCTGTAAGTATTAATCTTGGGATTGCTTGTGTGTATATTTGTACATCTGGAGCAGAGGATTTTATTACTCTTTTCTGCTGAATAGTCGCCACCATTTTTTGTAATTTTTCTTCGCTATAGTCCGATGGTGACTTTGACCCTGTTTTTCTTGTACAAATGTTTCTACTGTGAAATTACCTGGTCACATATCAGAACTGGGCATCAGCTGGCAGAAACAAATATGTAAAGTACTTTCTCCTCTGTTTAGGCCATAGCCTCTCCCCTGCACAAGGATCTAATTGCAAGTTTCACTGTACACACTATTTCTGGTGCCCCCATTGGCTGCAAGAATTACTTGGCACAAAATTCCAGAGAGATGAGCAGCAGCTACTGCGAGTGTTGCTACCATCATTTTGCACACGAAATAACTCAATGGGCAGGGGGGAAGGATTAAGGTCACACGGTGGGTGAATGGCAGAGCAGCAAATAGCTTTCCTGTCCTCCTGGTCCACATTAGGACACATCTCTTCCTGGAAAGAACAAGGCCTCTGTTCTGCTTCTCTACCTTCTGCATGTTCAGTATCCTTTTGTCTTGGCAGCTCTACTGCACTACTCCTTGACTTTTTTTGACTCTGTGTAATATCCCGTTCTTCAGCACAGCTCTGTATTATGCAACTGCCTAGATACTTGACTTAAAACTACACCAGAGAGAGCACTAGAAATGATCATTATTTCTCCTCTTCACTAAAGAAGCTGCAGCAGTGAGGTGATGGGAAAACAATAATTACGGGCTGTCTTGGACTCCTACAAAGCCAGCCATCTTCTCTGGGAAGTTCTTGGTCTCTTAAACAGCCCATTTCTCTTCAGGGCTGGGTTTTTCTGCGTAGCAGTATTAAGAAGCAGTTAAGGATACAAAATGTGCTAAGAGGGTTGTGATAGTACAGACCCTAGTACCAAGAATGGCAAGAGTGTGGGGCCCTGGAGTAAACTAGAGATTGTAGCAGACAGGAATCTACACCACAGACAAATGTACAGGCCCCAGCTCCGCCTGCCTCAGTTTAGAATTGGGATTAGAATTGGGTTCACAGCTCCAGTGGTTCTCTGAGCAGTTCCTGTCTGACTTGAGGCCAGAACAGAAAGAGCAGAACTAGGAGACTGTATTCTCCATTATCAAATAACAGAGTGAAAAATATTCCAAGTATCCTCCAGGAAATGGCCTATTTTTGGATCATTTAGGGTTAATTTCCTCCTTTGCTCACTTGTAGCCCATTACTATTCTAACTACGTTTCCCACGGCTATGGAGAGAGACAGGGAATCCTTTTAGAGGTGTGTCCGGGGGGAAGGTGAGGGGAAGGGGAGGGTGTTATCCATTTAGCATGGCCTTTTTTGTTGTTGATACAAACCTGGAACAAATGGGCTGGATTCTGCTCTGGGCTAGGAAAGTCAGGTTCACAAAGGGGATCTCAGATTTCTGTGTTTAGGGTAGTTGCATGCTATCCTGACCACATAATATCAAGCAAAAACTGTTCCCTCTGGGACATGCTCTATTTTCCATAGCACTTTTGCTTGCAGCAAGAATTTGATCCTATAGCTATTACTGGTTTTCCTGACATTCTGAAAACATGGGGCTACTGCCCCAAATTCTCTTAGACTATCAGGTGTTGTGTGTCGTATTGGAAAAAACAAACAAAAAATGAGCCTTGGGTCTCAGCCTTGCACTGTCTCTGCCAGCCACCTTTAATGAAATCCAGAAGAAGCTCTCTGACTCTATATGGTTGTATGTGATAAAATCTGAAGACTTCAGAATTTTGGGGAGTCTCATTCAGAACTAAATCAGTTGACTGCTGCTGAATTTACCAGCTGTAACTAAACAGAGTCTCCAGAAAGTGCAGCACTTCCAGGACCATATTTGCAGTGGGTTTGTGAGTAGAGAACAACAGTGTATCTGCAAGATCAGGGTGGATTTTCTGTAAGAAATGTATGCTTTTTGGTCACTGGTGCATCAAAAGAAGTTCCATCAACATTGCCTGCAGAAGATCCTCCAAATCCAGTGGGAAGACAGACGCACCAAGATTAGCATTCCCCTACGTGCAAACACAATGAGTATTGAGGCGATGATCATCTGACACCAACGTTGTTGAGCTGGCCTCATCATCTGAATGTCCAACTCCAGACTTCCAAAGCAATTTTTCTTCTCCCAGCTCAACCAAGGCATACGCTCAAGAGGAAGGCAGAGAAAGCACTTCAGGGACATCCTCAAGGCCAGCCTAAAAAAATACAACATTGAAGTCAACTCACGAGAGACTATTGCCCAGGACCGCCTCAAGTGGAGGAAGAGTCTGCAGCAGGGATCTCAGTACTTTGAAACCTCACGGCAACAACAGGAGATGGAAAAGTGGGAGCGGCAGAAACACCGCGTCACAGACCAAATCAAGAATCTAGCACCACCCACCCTGCACAGAAACACATGTCCGAGCTGCAGTAAAATCTGTTGATCCCAGATGTGCATCTGAAGATGGCTGATGAGGCCTATGTAGCAGGCTCACCTTTCGTAGCTTGGGTTGAGTCCCAGGCTTGAGATCCTGCTGTTTTGATTGGTGGAGCCCATCCCCCAATCACGATGCAGCAAGAGAAATAAAGTCACGCCCCTTTCCTGAGGGGAGGGGGAGAAGAGCTCCCCCAGACCTGACTGAAGACCGCAACACTGTCAGGTTGGAGAACTTCAGGGGCGGAGCCTCGGAGCGTATAAAAGGAGCTGTGTGCCCTCCGCAAGGGGCCGATGCGGCACGGGACTCGAGAAGAGCGGAGGCAAGAACAGCTGGGGAGCTCTCCCCCAGCGGGCAATAGGCCCAAGGCTCCTGAAGCCACCACTCGAGGAGCAGCCTTGGGAGCGGTGTGAGACCGCTCGGGCTGTTGACAGCACATGGGGATGGTGCAGGGAGGCCCGGCCCTGGGAGTGGTGTGAGACTGCTTGGGCCCATCACGGTGCGCGGTTCGGTGCGTGGAGCCCAGGCAAGCAGTGGCTCGAGCCTGCAACCCTGGCATGGCCAGTGGGCCACAGGGTACGCGGGGCAGCGCACAGGGCAAGGGCCTTGGGGGCCTCAGTGAGGTGGCTTAGGCCGCATCTCCCAGCAAGCGGTCAGGTCCCACAGTGCACAGGGTGGCGCACGGGCCCGACCTTGGAAGCCAGGGAGCAGGGGAGGGTGCTTGGGTTAGCCACCTGGTATGAGGATGAACGGACAGAGCCTGAAGGGCCCAGTCTGGGCTAAAAGACCCCTTGGGGCTGAAGACAGGGCAAGGGGAAGCAGTAGTGCTGTAGCATGAGGCCCAGAAGCCAGCAGCAGTGGTGCAGCTGCTGAGAGGAGCTGAGCCCTTGGTGCTCAGAGCGGGGCACAGGGTGAGGAGGAGCCCAGCGGCGCAACAGAGGCTTGGAGAGGCGCTCCATCAGAGGAGATCCCATCGAGCTGCACCCTAACCACCACCACCACCTGAGGGAGCGCGAGTCATTGGGCCCTTGGGTACCACAGGAGAAAGATGTTTGGGGTGGGCAAACCCAGAGAAGGGGCTGGGTGAGCAGCCCCCCGCCTAGTCAGGGCCCTAAGGAGAGGGGCCCCTGGTGCTTCCTGGACACCCCCCAAGGGACCCCATTGGAAGGAGAACTGTCTCTTGCCACAGGTCAGGGACTATATTAAGGAATAGATGTTATTAAGATTGTTCCTGTTTACGCCTTATATTTTGTAATTGAAATGTACTGTGTTGATGCTGCTGAAATTGTTTTATTGTGATGGGTAAATAGTGTTATTTAGGGTTTGACCTTGGTTACTGGTTAATGTTCACTGTGTAAATATATGTATATGATATTTAGTTTTGTGATTATACAATTTATTGAGTTATAATATACATATAGTTAAGAACTTTGGGCTTGGGGTAACTCCTATAGAGGAGAGAGGGGTCTGCTCGAAATTCTGGCATCCCTCTCTCGGCACCCCCTCCTGCCTACACATCCCATCCAATTGTGAACAGGGCACACCCTTGGGTGTACCCAGGTTACACACAGATAAGACAGTCATGGAAGACGATCATTCTTAACTGTGAGGGATTGCCAAAGAAGAGCATCCAGAGGTGATTTTGTCGCTTTCAATGGGGCAGTCACATGACAGCAGCAGCAGGTGGAGTGAAGAAGCAGTAGCAAAAAAACATGCTACACCATGACCAGCTACCTGCAAAAGGAAGGAGTTAGAATCCTGCTACAAAGAAGAAGGGGCATCAGTTGCTTGCAGAACAGCTGTGCTGTCTGCTGCTAAGTAGGAAAGGAAAGGTTTTGTTTTTTCCTTTGCAAAGCAGACCCCTTGAGTTTGAAACAAAGAAGCGTGGCACACCTGCTCATGAAAGAAAGCGTATGTCTGTCCTCCAGAGTGCAGCCTTTGCCATTCCAGCAGGGCTAATTACCCTAGATAGAGCTTCACACTTATGCATCTACATTTCTTCTGATATCTGACTGAGCTAAAGTGGGTACCTGCCCATAGCACCAGTGGATCTTGGATGACTGGCAGCCAGAAACTCACCTTTTAATCATATCTGCAAGATGGTGCCTTTTGCAGTATGGCAAGGGCACCTAACCATGGGCAGAAGCTCTGGTTCAGGAGTCGCACCAAGACCATAGTCCAAGCAGAGAAAGGGAGACAAAAATGAAACGGTGCAACCTGAGAGGAGTGCAGACTTGGTGCAAAACTCCAAAGTGTACCTGGGGTAGAGGATTTACCACCTCCCTCCCACACAGCTCCCCAGTACACAGTCAAGCTGTTCACACTGGGCTCTAGGGAACATTTTAATAATGCTGAAAATCAAGACGCACACTTATGTAATAGAAAATCCTCAAAGAGGTCTGCAATTCCCTTAAAGTTGAGGGAGCCAAAGATGCCCAGGACCATGCTATTTTGAGCCCTTTTGGGCTTCCTATTCTCTCCCTTCAGTTATGGATGAGATGATCATTAAGAGAACCAGTTGCCTTCTCGCTCTTGAT